CATTACACTCGAGTGAACCTCTCGGTTCTACTCAAGTTTACAACCTCGGCGAGCAAAAAAATTCCTCCGATTGAACTTTATCCGCAGTGATAGTGAACAGTCTTGATCATGAGCACTGGCATGAGGTTTCACGCGAGTTGAGCTAACAATTTCCACCAATTAGCTGAAAACCCTGCTGATCAATTTCAGTGAATTTGGAAGCATGCATCCCCTTCAAAAAGCCAGAAAGTGTCGGGTGCAGACCAAACACCACAACTGACGACGGCCTCAAGTAAATCTGGTTAGTAGTGGTTCATAGTGATAGCTGATTTTTAGTAAATGATAGTTGTAATTAGTGTCAACTGATCGAATACAACTGAATCATTTCATTGGCAAAAAACATTTGCATTTTGTGGAGGCCGTCGTCACTTGTGGTGTATGGTCTGCACCCGACACTTTCTGGCTTTTTGAAGGGGAGGGTACGTACTCATCTTATGGCAGTCGAAGATGCATGGGATCTTACCTGGAAAATAAGAGTAAAAAATAATTGCACGTTGCCAGATTTCGGGAGAAAAAAAGCAACACTAAAAAACAAAAATGGCCCTAGTGAGTTGGGAGGTGGCGTAAAGTAGTGGGGGTTTTGAGAAAATGAAATAATGCTTACTTACTCCCTTCCCCTTTGCCCCCACCCACCCGTAAGAACTACCTTTGGAGGGGCTAGGGGAGAGGGGTATTCCGTGAATTGGCTCTTTGCAAAATGGTGGCTCCTCAAGTACACCGCTAAGTGATTTAGAAAGTTCTCAGTTCTTGATCGTTCAAGCGTTTTTGCGCGCTATCGCAAGATACGGGGCCATCCTCTAGGACTCGCAAAGAACGGTCATTGGTCTGTTCGGCCATATGAAATGAATTGTATATTGCTGAATTGCGTACCTCGAGACGCTGAGCTCAAATCTTCTTCCGTTATCTGAAAGAAGTAATGAAGGCAGGAAAGCGCAGCGGTAGTGACCATGACTCACAGGCACGAGGTAGTAGGGTTGACTCCAGTGCGAGTCAGTGCTTTTACTTTTTTCAGAAATGTAGTTAGAAAGACGTTTCACAAATCTCTTAGAAGCGCAAAAGTCCGTGCTCGCTTTGGAATCGATCCCACGACCTCTTGTGAGTCAAGGTAACTACCACTGCGTTGTGCTTTACAACTTATTTCAGGAAATCGTTCCGCAGATAACAAAAGTAGATTTGATCTGACAAGTCAGTGTCCCAAACCACCTATACACGGATATGTTTCAAAAAGCCGTAATGGCCAATTGACCTTCCCCTTCAAGCCTAGAAGGAAGGCAGGAATTCCGTGGGAAGTGGAATTTGCTCATGCATTCTGAGTCTCTTCTCCCCACTTGAGCCTCAGTTCTCAACTCAACAGAAAAGAGATGTCTTACGCAGATTTGACGTTATAAGTGTACTGCCATCACAATGTCCCGTGTCTTGTGATAGCGCCCCTTTGTTTACACATGAACCAGCAAATTGGCTTTGGTGGAACAAAAGTTATGGCGCCAATCCTTCACCAAAAAAGATCCTGATAAGGAGCACCAATCGATCTTCCATATGGAGCACTTCGAGCGAAGACAGCTTTTTGCCAAAACAGTTGTAATGGTTGAACAGCACCGGTTGCCTGTAGAAAAAATTGCAAAGGCGAGACGATGAACCTGACTCCCCTGTAGCATCTGCGACAGTGGTTCTGTTTGAGGTTGCACTGATTATACCAGTGTCCTGACAGGTTTAAATAGGCCAAAAGTCGAATCAGAATTTTACGAAAGTGTGAAATTTGACGTGTTAAACCTGTGGAAACGTGTCAGACGTGTTAAGACTGCTCTGTAAAACTACACACTGTTTGATTTGTGAGTGGCACTTCGAATTGTACAGGGTGGCTACAAAGTATGGGCGCACGCATAGTCGGTCGTCCGACAGCAACGATCGCAACTGTCTGACTGTCTAACTGCATCTAATCGTCGAATACTCAGGCAAGTCCGACGATCGATACGCATCCAATGCTGTGCGACAGTTACGATCGTTGCTGTCGTCCGACCGACTATGCGTGCGCCCTATGGTCGAGTATTTATTGGGGGTCAGTTGTCCGACGGCGGGGCATCTGCTGCTGCAACCTGCTAACGAAACAAAACGTGTTAAAAAGAGCAACGCTTCTAACAGCAAACAAACCAGAACATGTTAAGAACCAACATTCATCTAAAGCTATGAAGAAAAGTGCTCTTAACAAAATAAGGCCTTATCGCAAGAGATGCGAGCATGCGACGACAACGCACGTAAGCAAAACCGCGTCAAACGATTGTTTTTTTTTTTAGAAAAGGGACTAAGCCTTGGCGGAGGAAGGGGAGACTCCAGAGTGAGTGATTTTCATCTTTTTCGTAGCTCCTGCCCACCCCCGAGGCTTAGTCCTAGGGGAAGCCCGATATCTTGTGGTGCGCCACTTTTTCTGGATGTGGAAAAAAGAAAAAAGAGGTAGGGCAGGAAATAGGTCAGTTCCTCTCAGAATACGTCACAGTTCTTGACATGTCTTAGTTTGCTAAGTGGAGAGTATATATGACAGGCTCTAACATGTTCTCTTTTGTCAATAGCAACTGCTTCAGCAGATGCTCCGCCTTAAAGGAAGCGATCACGCTGGCTTCCACGCTGGATTTGCTACCCTCGCGTTATCAATCGATAAGGTGTGAGGCAGTAATTGTTGGACGAGTGTAAGCCCATGGAAGATATGATACGATGAGATAAGAAGGTGCGGCTGCTTGATAAGAGGTGCACTCCAGAATGAAAACGGGACGATAACGATAACGGTATCATATCTAGCACGCTCTTATCGCACCCCTTTCCACATCGATAAGTCTTGGTTTTTGCTGAACGGAAGTGGATTTCGGCGCCTTATCACTCCGTTGATAAGGCGCCACTGCCACTGAAACTTCACGTGTTGTAACACTGGGCAGGACCTCTATCCACTCCAATACACAGCTTCCCTTATCGTTCCCATGAAAATTATCGTGACCACTTCCTTTAAGATGCATTCTTCGTCAAATGGTAAGAGTAGACGAAGAGTATTACTCGAGGTACTGTTCGAAATGATCGCCTTTGGCCAGAATACAAGCTTCCTAGATTTGCACGTTGGTCCTCAGGTGAGTTGACATCAATCTTCTGCCATTTCCCTCTGAAGCGCTGCTTTCAACTTTCCAAACTGCGAGTGGAAAAGAAGACAGTTTCTGCTGCAGATAGCTCCAAACGATAATAGTCCATTAGATTGAGGTCTGGGGAATTAGATGGCCTCATGTATTTGTCCCAGAATCTAGGAAAAATGAAGTTGGCAGTAAGACTCATGTGTTGGCGCCAAGTCTTGTTGCAAAATAAAATCTCGTCCTCCAAAGAGTTTATGGGCCCACGGCATCAGTGCGGCAAATTCTTCGACTTTGGATTCCTGATGTAAGGTCTGACTGCCAGCTGACCTTTTGAAACCTGCGAGGCGGCGAAGTGCGTGGCGCGTTACGAGTTTAATGGATATTTTAATGAATTTTCCTTGCTTGCCTTTAATTTTAACCCCTCCTCCTAATAGGTTTCAATTTTAGGTAATGTTATCGCAAGCTCCAAGGATGGCATATATCTGACACGGCATATCGGACTAAAGAGTGGCGTTCCTCAGAATGTAGGAGCTCTAACAGTGAATCGTCTCTGCGGATCTGGGTTCCAGTCATTGATCAATGCTACACAGGTGTATTCCCATCTCAAAAGCCTCATTTTCAGCAAATTAAACTCGGTGAATCAAAACTTATCGTGGCCGGAGGAACTGAAAACATGTCTCAAACCCCTTTCGCTGTTAGGAATACCCGATTTGGCACTGCACTTGGAGTGAAGTATGAGGTTAGTTGGGAATATCTTGTCGCATCTTTATGATGCTATTTTTCATTCTTTGTATACTTCATCCGAGAAGAATCCTTCCTCAAGCAAAGAATTATTTTTGATGTGATGATCTGCTTTTCACAGGAGAGTCCCCAATTCATTCGATATGAATATGCATAAAGTAGGTTCTAGACAATGAACTTCGGCACGGACCTGTAGGCTGCGACGCGACCGCACGCGTCAGCGCTCGCATTTCTCGCTTTGCCCATTATCAAAACTCTTTGCACAAACAATAACATAGTACTCCTTCGGAGAAGGAAAAGTGGTGAAAGCGTCACTTCATACCAGTATTAGGTATAATCAGTTGTATCAGATATCCCACTAAAGTACATGATTATGTGTTTTAGTTCGAAGACATGTTGTGGGAATCTCTCACTGATACATACGCCAAACTTGCAATGGCTCAGACTGCAGAGAAGCTCGGAGCGGAGTATAAGGTGAGGTCTTTCCCGCATCATCGGGGCGGTATTCAATCCTTCCCCCAGGGGGATATATCCCCCTACTCTGATTCAATCCTCTGGGGGGACAAAAAAGGGTTGCGTCATAGCATACCTCTGTGTTTCTACCTGCCAGACAGTTAGAGCAGCGCGACCCCTCAGGGGAAAGAGTGCTTCATCAGTGGAGGGTAGTCGCGCTGCTCTAACTGTCTGGCAGGTAGAAACACAGAGGTATGCTAGGTCCTATGACGCAACCCTTTTTTGTCCCCCCAGAGGATTGAATCAGAGGAGGGGGATATATCCCCCTGGGGGAAGGATTGAATACCGCCCCATGCCTCTCAGTCTCGGCAAGTATGGCTTATGCTACAGCAGAAGTGTGAGGTTATTTTCGTTCTAGGTGACTCGTAATGACGCTGACGCTTTTGCGCTGCGTTCACAACAGTTATGGAAGAAGGCTCAAGATGCTGGTATTTACAAAGCCGAGATTACTCCAATGACTGTGAAAGGGAAAAAAGGCGAAGAGACGTTTGAGGTTAGTAGGCTCAGTGTCATGTTTTGTACTTCACATTAGCTTGTTTCCTTTCTTCAACAGCTTCTTCGATTACGAGGTTTCGGTCGATTATTCATTTGTTTTGGTTGAGCGCATATTCTTCTTGAAAGTTTTCTTTGTGTAGGTGGATGAACATCCCCGACCACAGACAACCATGGAATCTTTGGCCAAACTGAAACCAGTATTTCAAAAGGACGGTCTGATCAATGCGGGTAATGCCTCGGTGGGGTGCTGTTTGATTCTGACTTGCTATCCACACCCTATTCAAAAATTCCCGTCCTTTTTTCCAGGGTAT